ACCTATACAAAAGTGCGCAACAGGATGCTGATTCCAGTTTACTTAAAAGTTATAGGTGTCATTACTAACAAAGGTTTTGTGAAAGTTATACAAAATATCTTTAATATTTAAGTAAAGGATGCCCACTGAATGATGTCAGATTATTAAGGTAGTCTGTCATCTCTTTATTTGTGATAGGCAATGTATCTTTCTGCAGATGAATCAAAATCTTCTTCAAAGGCTTTGAACGAATATCATACAGGTGAATTTAAAAAAAAGAAAAACAATTTCAGCCTTGGCTGGAATAATTTTCACTGTGAAATCGTTGAAATTATTATTTTTATGTTGTATGAACTGACTTAGAGGTGAAATTTGTCCAAAAAAAAGAAAGAAAAAAAAAGTATTGTGTGAACTTTTCCCTTTAATAAAATTACAGAATTAATAGGATACTCACTGTTTTCTTCTCACGCTTGGTTGGTGGAGGTTGCTGTGGTGTAGGCACTATGATAGGGGGTGACGGGGGGTAAACAGACTGTCCTGGGAAGTAGGGTGGACCAGCTGTGGGAACGGGAGCAGGGACAGAGGGTGAGACAGGTGGGTGGTACCTGAGGGGATCTGAATGAATTTGCAAGAAAAGACAAACAAGAACAGAAGAAAGGACATCTTAGTTAAACCTTACAGTCACAGCACCTTAGGCACACAAGAGAGTTAGTGAGTGTTTGTGCTACTCTGTCATTAACTGAGATTTTATGGATACGGGACTACCACTGCATGTGTATGTGTTGCATTAGTGACTCACGATATGGGGCTGGGTACTCTCCTGGCCCTGGTCCAGGATAGAAGGTGCCAGACCCTGGGGGCTGTACAGAATACTGTTGAGGAGGTCCCACGTAGGGTGTACTGGGGCGGTACTGTATAGGGGACAAAAGAGAGAGACAACCAATGAAAACAAGACACGTACTGACCGGTTTAGTCTTTTATTTTTTGGGTCCTTTTTCCTTTCTTTTTTTTAAATTTTTAGCATTTGTGGGAGTTTTTATGGGTTTTAATGGTCCTTTTGATGATCCTTTGAATAATCCACTGAATTCTGTCTAGACCAGTTTATTATGATCTTTTAGGAATCTTTAAGGGTTGTTCAGAGGACACGCAAATTATTCGTGTATAAGACAAAGGGCAATGCTGCTGCTGGTGCGCAAACTTTATACATCTAATGTGGAGCTATGAGTATAGCTGATACTTTGCTAAAGACATAAAGACCTAGCATGTGGTTTTACTCTTAGATGCTAGTGGAATAATTCTGCATGAATTAAACTGCACAGTTCATAAATAATTCTCATTTATGTTACACCAGAGCGTGTAGTAATCCCCTTGTTCATTCTCTGTCTGAAATAAACTATCTTCCCTCCCTTTCGGATTACTTTTGGCCCACTTCTTTTCTGATTGGCTGCCATTTGCAAACAGAAGATTTCAACAGCTGGTGGGAGGGGCTTCTCTATTTTAAGCCCGAACTTTTTGGAACAGTTTAAAGCTTGGGCTTTTGGCTCTCATACCTGAAAATTTGCATTCACCGAACTTGTTATTTGAAACTTTGGGTACTTTTTATATAAGCACCCACCACTGTTATAGTATAGCCATCCATTGAGTTTTACACTTCTGACTCTGTGTCATGGGGGCAGCAGTCTAACCAGAGATGCCTTCAGGTGGATACAAAGGCATTCCCAAACTAGCTGACAAATACATCCTATCTAGTGTGCTCTCAGTCAGCTCAAAGATCTTCTCCCGCATGGATGCGCCAGAAAAACACCCTGAAAACAACTTAAGCAGCTGCTTTCAATGCAAAGGAGTAACTGCCCTACTCTGTGGAAGAGACCACATACACTTGAGAGGAGGTCACTTCTATTCGAGAGATCTTTTTCTTAACCACTACAGACTAGCACAGCTCAATTTCTTGGTACATCACAGTGTAAATATATATGACAGAAAATAACAAAAAGCACACTAGGGCCACTTAAAGCAATTGTTTATGTAATCAAAAACGTTAATCTTAAATATGACCATTCGTTTTTATCGCTGGGTGCTGTCTAAAATGTTTTCCTGACACTTTAAGTTTGAATAATTAAATATACAGCCACCATATAACTGGATGAGGTTGGCACAAAGAATGGAAACAGCAGAAAAACAACTAGCCTAGCTGTTTCCAAAGGTAATAAAACCATTTTAACACCACCTCTGAAGTGCTCTAATTTACATATTATATATTATTTGAATTCTTATCGGAGCTTCAAATTAAAATAACACAGAAAAGTTGATTTTAATACTCTTGGTGGAAACTTTCCGATACATGTTTTTGCTGAAAACTAAAAATAAATGTAAGGCCCAATCAGAGTTGAAGAATGGTATTGATAAATAGATAGAGCAACTATTTTAGTAGTCTTAATTGCACCTATAATGGTGACTTCTTTACCTGTGGGATGTAGTACTGTGCAGCCTGGGGGGAAGGGAAAGGCATGGGTGCCATGGTCATCATTATTGGTTGATTAGTGGGGTAGACGGCTGCTGTGGGAGCTTGTGAGCCAGGCCGTATCGAGGGCGTGTTCGTCGGGATGGTGGGCCTTGCAGGCTGCATTTGAGTCCTCTGAAAAAACTGAAGATAACAAGGCAGAAAAAATAGAGAGAGAAACAGCAGAAGACATTGAATACTACCCCAGATACAAAGTCTCATTTCAGCAGGCTGTCATGCTTTTTCTAAACTACAAGCAAGTAGACTTTTTAGACCTTTACTCCAGATTTGGTTTTTATCAGCAGCTTAAAAAAGGCCAATGACCACAACTTTCCCTGAAAGCAATGCTGCAGACAGTTCAGACTGTTTCATTAGACCTACTCTGAAAGTCAAAAACACTTTTATGTCACTTTTCCTCCAAAAATAACCAGTAATCTCTTCCTTGAATTATTTACTAAACATCTCTCTGAAGTTTGGATTATATATTTTAGCTGGCAAGAAATGTGATGAATCAGATGAATATTTACATACTGGCACCAGTCTGAATTTAGCTCACTTTACACACTCAAGTCCTTAATGTTTCATCCTGCCACAAACATCTAACCAGCAGCCTTAAAAGCACGATTAAGTCATTCAAACAGAGATGACATTTGAGTATAAGAAATGCCCACAGCACAGAACTGCAATCATCCGACTCGGTCAAACCTCATGTGTACATTGCTGTCGTGATCCCTGGCAGCTTCACAGTGTTTCTATTGTTAAAGTGTCCGACATGGTCACAATTGAGGTGGTGGATCATTTAGTTTAGGATCTTATTTCCAAGACCAGATCAGAATTGATTCAAGAGACTGCTGTCATATCTTTCTCATTACAAAATTTTGTTCTAGCAATTCAGAGTGAAAAAAGTAATCAAGGCACAGATGCATTAAAAGAAATAAAGATTGTTTTCTCTGTGCTTTATTTCAGTTCTGTTGTGTATGCTACCGTCTTTACATCACTCCAATCAGGGTTAAAATATATTTTTATCACAATTCTGGTGATTTTCCTGTTTGGGAATGATGGAACCTCTTTAAATCCATCAAGCAGCCATGATGTTTCTCCTGTCAATAATATATCCTGTTGCCATTTGCTACCAAGATGAATGGGATAGATTAAACTATTTACTATAAACATTGGTGTGTTAATACATTGTTTTGAGTCAAACTTCCGGATATTTTATACGTCCCTTGTTGCCTTTTTTAATCGCAGTTTTATTTGGGATTTATACACAGATGGAGATTTTCTGTGGTATGAATATTAGTAAGATCACGGTATAGCTAGATAAGCAACCTGGAGGCGAGAGATAAAACTGTTCCTCTTTTGACTGCTCCTATTACAGGTTTCCACAGTATATCACCTGCCTCCATCCCACCCCAAACCTTGCATCCTCTTCTATCTCATCAACCCACTACATCCAAAAACCTCTGTGGACTTGGTGGCAGTGCCATAATCTCCAAACCATACATCATAGCAGGTCTCAATACTGTCGTGTAAAACTTCACTTTCACTCTTGCTGCTATCTTCCTGCCAGAAATCACAAGACCTGGTTATGGTTTCCTGGAGAAGGCCCTAAAAACTTGAAGGGAAAGCAAAAGTTTAAGTTTCCAGTTTTTTTTGACCTGGAATGTACAACTAGAAAAAAGTAAAAGCTCAGACTTTTAAGAGCCCTTAACTATGGTTTTTGTTTTGGCCAATCTCGCAGCTGTACAGAATGTGCGACACAGGCCACTGACCTGCTCGTCATGCAGAAATATGGCCTTTTCTGGTGTGTCAAAGAGAACAGAAAAACAAAACAAAAACATACAATACTCACAGTCACTCCAGCTACAGTGGCTTTTCAAATACATGTCACAATCACTTAAAAGTTAAACATCAGAGCGGGTCTGTATTTGATTAGCCCAATGAATTTAATATGCTGAAGCTTTGTGTGCTGGGCCTGAAGAAAGACCACCACCAACAGCTGTGACCGACTTCCAAATAAGCGGGACTCAAGCTGGGAATACCCAACCACAGTCACAGAGTGCCTCAGTGAAGAACAGAATGGAGAGCAGAATAAACAATACTGTAAAACAGTCTAAAAATATCCAGGAGGGAAATCACCTTTAACATAATAAATCAACTTCAATGGCTTTATTGTAAATAGCTCTGTGAAAATCTGGGAAATTACCGGAAAAGTCATTATCAGTCTCTGCTGGCAAAGCAAGAGAACGAGACAGAGACAAAAAAATTCAGAACATTATTAACACAAAGGAGCTTTGTCACTTAAAAACAGGCTTAAAACAATCACTAAAACAACTCCCCCAACAAGACTGTAACCATATATACATAAATTAGTCACCTATATAACATAAAACATATTTCCAAGGCAGCAAACACATTTCTTTTCACAAAGGACAAAAAATTATCTAAAAGAACAAATACTTGGGAGGGAATATACAGTTTCTCTCTAATTGTGCATGCTGTTCATTTAACTGTGCAAGGTGATAAAGGATGAGTAATGAATGGGGAGAAAACTAAAAAATTATAAACTGAAAATTCCACTAATGATCCTCCACGGGATAAAAGACAGGACATAGGGGAAAAAATGATGATGAAAGTCCACCGTACTAAGAGTACACTGCAGTGAAGATGAAGGGGTGTATAGGGTAAAAAGTCAGGAGGGATGGGATTATTTGAGCATGATCCTCATCATGCCATGCAGGTCTGCAGAGACTTTAGACAAAGAGGTAAATTACCTGGATGGGCCTGAATCCTCCCTTGGGTAGTGAAAGCAGGAAAAAAGAGAAAAGCCAATAGGAGACCATACTGGTGAGATTTAAGCGGCCACACACATCAACAGAAAGCTGTCCCATTACTTCTATCTAAATGACACAGTACCTGGTTCGGAATCACTTTGGCAATATATATAACTAAAATATATAAAATAATCTCAGAAAATGTGATGGGTAATAATTGGGCAGTAGAGCAGGAAAGACTCAAAAGTCACAGTCAAAATGTCAGATCGGTATTTCACTTGTTGCCATGTGGCACCCAATGTAACATGCACATAACTATTATTTAAACATGCATTTTAGAAAGGGTTTCTTTGCCAATTGGGATGATTAAACCCTTTTGACAATGAAGTGGGACTTCTCTGCACCAGAGGGATCTCACTGTCACCTGAATCGCTGGCTCAGCAAGAGGAAGGAGTGTTACGGCCTGCATGAACGATGAGTTTCAGACACATGTCTATATTATGGAGCAGATGGGCTTCATTTCAGTCCCCTGACTTTCATATGTTACTAGAATTGCCACCAGAGTTTAGGTGAAACCCAGGCAACAACCTCCTGGGATGAAATACGAAAACAAAGGAAAACTACCAAAAACAGCAGGCTTCACCTCAGCTAATTCAAATTACTAATCACATATATACATGTTAAACAATGACAACGATAATTATAACAGGTGTTGTCTGGTGTTAATTATAGATGCAAAACAACACACGTTTCACAGTTATAAAATGTACTCATCCTTACAGATGATTTGCCTCGCAGTGGTTTGGTCCATTTCCTACCATTCCTTAATTCATTTAGTTTGCAAAGAAATAAACATAAAGCACAGGATGTGTATGACAATGTTCTTTTCTTCTAGCCATTAATATTAATATATATATA